CTGGGGGCTCCTGCACCACTGGGAGCGCCACAAGGGCACGCACTCCCAGTAGGGTGCCGTTTTAGGTCATGCCTAGAACCAGGAGCCTCCAAACCATCCCGCACAGCTCCTGCCCTTACCTCCAGGATGTTGCATGGAGCCTTGCAGCTAAGCTATGTTACTGCCTGACCTGCCAGCAGCGAACTGCCCTTTTTATATAGGCTGCCAGAGATCTAAAATGGCCGTCGCAATCAAGCACCTGCTGACTGCTTGGCTCCACTCTTAAAGTGGCAGGGACCAACAGTGTCCTGCCACACCTGCATACAGGTTTCCCTCACCAACCACAGTTTTGACTATTCATACTTGATATTCTATATACCATTTTGGATACCATGGTATACGGTTTTGAGTAACCACGGTTTTCCATGGCCATACATCAGCCTGCCACCTGCCATTTTTCCCATAAGCCTTTTGTCTTGGCAACCACGGTTTTGCCAACCATGGGAACTTTCAGGAACCTAGCCCCAATGGTTGGTGAGAGCACCTGTACTTTGTGACTGTGATCATGATCAGAGTGTTTTGTAGTCTTTCAGTAACTGTTCGCAGGGATGGAAAATAGCACTAATGCTGTCCTCAGTACAACTGGAAATGTTGATGACTCTGCCTGTTTCATTTTGCAGAAAGGGCTTAGGGAATTGTGGCTGATGGAGACTCTTGCTTCTGAGAAATGCAGTGTGGTACCTGTTTTTCTCCCACCATGTCCAGAATAGGTGGAGGCTGTGGCTTTGCCCCTTATCTGGGAGCTGTAACTAATAATGTTAAAAATATCCTTTCTAGAAGTAGAACAAAATTTTAGAAGAAACTGATGCCAGAGTTATTTCATTGAGTCTTAGCTTCTTCAATAACAACTTCTTTAAGTACTAGATTTCTCATTATTTGTCCTCTGAGTTGCTGACTGTAATTCTGTGCATGTATCTCTTCAGAAGATCAAGCAGTGTCAGTCAAAGTGGATTTTGCTGGTCTTACTTTGACCGTGTCTGAAATCTTGCTCTTTTTTTTTCCCTCCCTCTCTCATGGTGGAGCCTCCCCTCCCTGGTTTGCCCTCCTGTGCTGGGTCCCACCCACCGGGCTCCCACCCCCTGGGGGGAAGGAGGCTGGGCAGGGAGCCCTGAGACTGCAGTGGACCCCCTCCTGCCCCTCCTCCTTCTCCCCCTGATGAGCTCTGCTCTGGCCATGGTGCCCATTGGGGGAGGAGGCATTGATTTTGTGTGCATCATTTTGAGGTTGCAAAAAAAGTTCCAGTGTTTAAATGACAGACAAGGTTCTTTGGGGAAATATGATCTCTTTTATTAAGCCCACTAAATAGTTAGAATAAATTTTCTTAGCAAGCTTTTGGGTTTAAAAACCCTTCATCAGGCTAAGGAGATGCTTTCTCAGCTTGACAAAGGGTTTTTAAACCCTTGCTAAGAATTTTTTCCAACTATTTAGTTGGTCTAATAAAAGAAATCAGATACACCCAAAGAACCTTGTCTGCCTATGTCCTTAAACCAACATGGCTACAACCTACACCAGTGTTTAAATGAGGTGATGCAGAGGAAGAGGTTGGAAAGCACTATCCTAGGAGCTCTGCTGACATGCTGGTGAGCACTGAGAGCTCATTGTGCACGCTACTCACAGCCAAAGAGGGTTGTGATCGCAGCATTGTACTGCTTCTGATTTTGTCCTTGTTTTGCTTAGGACAGTTCTCAACCAGAAGCAACATAGTTGTATTTCCACCAGGCTGCAAATGTGGTTTTTCCTCTTCTGGTTCAGGAAGTAATGCCTGTGGAGCACTGCAGGGTTGTGGCCACCCACAATGCTTGTGGCCCAGGAGGAGCAGCAAGTTCGAAAACTGCGCTTCCTGACACAGCAAGTTTTTGGTACGCCGCTTCACACAATACAAGACCACATGAGGCAAATGTGGAAAACTACCTAGAGTCTAGAACTGAAATCCTGAATGGGGAAAAACAGGAAATCTTCAATAAAATAACTGTAAACTCCTTGGTTTTTTTTCTCCAAGTGGTTCAAACCTTTTTAATTGATTTCAACAACATATGGTTTTGATGAAACACCGTTTTTTGGCAAAAACTTTTCATCCAACACTACTTTAAACCATTCCTACGAATGTAAAATCTCTTACAGCAGTAGAGAGGTGCTTGAATTGCAAATCAAAATGAATGAGGGATAATGCATTAAATGGGGTTGACTGAAGTTTGCTCATTCAAACCCTTGTTAGCTTGCAGGTGCTAATGATGTAAAAACAGCAAAAACAATTTGTCTGAATACAGCAAGCATGTTCTGACTCAATACCCACAGGGAGCACATTGACTGAATAAGATGTAATTACTTTTCAGGGTCGAATGTTTTTTTTAAAGATTCAACTCAATTTTATTATAAGGCAAGGAGTACCTCTACTGATTACCGTATGCATTTTTAATTATAATTATCTTTTGTAAAACTGAGTGCCTGAGTAACTCTGTTACAGGGGTGTAGATTGTAGCCGTGTTGGTGTAAGGACATAGGCAGACAAGGTTCTTTGGGTAAATTCGATATCTTTGTCAGACTGAGGAAGCACCAACTGCAGATGCTTCCTCAGCCTGATGAAGGGTATTTAAACCTGAAAGCTTGCTAAGAATAATTTTTCCAACTATTTGAGTTAGTCTAATAAAAGATATCAGATTTACCCAAAGAACTTTGTCTTTCTATCACTCTCTCTCTTTCCAGAGTATTTTCAAGATAGACCTAGTCTTTACTTTGTAACTGATTTTAAATTAGGAATTAGGCAGGAAAGGTTCTTTGGCTAGAAGTGATATCTTTTATTAAACCAACTGAGTAGTTACATTCTTATGACGTAGTCCAAAGGATCTTATTTCATAGGTATTTTTTAGGCTGGGCTCCCAATAGTTAACTTCTTCCTGAAGAGTCACAGCTTGTGCTTGCTTAAGTTGATCTGAATTCCTGGGTAACATTCTTGCTGTGTAACAAGTTAGGCATCTGATTCTGATCTGACAGTTTAATTTGGCTGACTTGCTGGAGTTATTCCTTACTTATGCCTGTGAAACCAAAATCTAAATTAGCCTGAAGGGCTGCTATCAGAATAAGGAAGTACAAAGTCTGCTGGAGATCAAAGGTGATTTTGTGAATGGGCTGTCAGTCAGTGCTAAACTCCAGAGTAGTTAAGGCTTATGGGCTTTTCATTTTTAATTCACACTTCCAAAGGGTTTACTAGTTTCACTGACTTCTCGGCAGCAATTCTCTGCAAACTGGCATATTTCAGGGACTGATTCTAGTTGGTGCATACTAAGAATTGAATGCATATTCTTGATTCTTTGAAGACGTGATACATAAATGTACAAAGGTTGTGTTGCTAAAACAAAAGTTGTCTTTTGTTTTCTTTAACTCTTTAGCAGGCTGCTGGCTTTTAACATCTGATATTTATGGATATTTGAAAACAAAAAGGTTTCTAGCCTGATATTGTGCTAGTAAAACAATTCAGAGATATTGCTGCTATTTTGATATAGCAAAATGATGATTGTCCCCAAAATCTTTTTTTTTTTGTTTCCCTCTCCAACAGTATCCATTTTTGCATGAGACGAAAGCCTAAATTCCACTTTACATAGTGGACGAGCTTTTGCAATACAAACATAATGCTGACAAAGGCTTGTTTTAAAAATTTAAATGTATCAAAATTAATATTGCAGAAAAATCTTGACTAAACTGATAAGTGCTGTTCAATATATTCTTCCATTGATTTGTTTTTTCATGGGAGTGCCTGGGCAAATGTGACTGCATAATAGAGCAAAATACATATTGGTATTACTAAAAGAAAATGGACTGTGCCCAGTTTGTTCTTGGAGCCTGATGGAACTTATTTCAAATTCCTTTAGGGCATTGGGGCCGACCTTTTTTTTTTTTTTTTTCCAGCAGGCGTTTCACTTTATTCACAAATACAGTCTCTTGCTCTTCCTGAGTGCCACTTTGATCTCCTTCCTGTTCACGATCAGCCACTTTGATTTGTGCTCTCTGCCCTATCTGCTACTCTGTCTACTGCCTCCCCAATCTGTCGCGTGCCACACACACAGGCTGCTAGTGCTACTAGTAGCAGTTACTCTGTACGTTGGCCACCCCTGCTGTATGGAGCAAGACGAAATGCAGTTAAGCCAAAGCTCCACTCTTGAGAGAACCTGACTGGATGTTGATGTTCATTTATTTGCACTTCTGGAAATACTCCCACCCATACCAGATTATCTTGGTGGGCATATGGCAGGTGAAGTGGGATAGGAGATGCTGACCAGTTGCATCTTGTGATTGATTGGAACCTAATGAAGCTGGTAGCTGGTTTGGATGGGAAAGGATTCACTACCATAAGCGCAGCATCTGTAATGTATTGATCAGAAAATAAATTCTTCTGAATAACATGCAGCTTGGGATGCTTTAGTCTTGGCCCCGAATTTTGAACCCTGATTAATAGAAGCGCTGAGATGGGAGGGAAGCTGGGTTGATAGTTGGTTAAGACTGCCAGGAGCTCTTAAATAAGAAATTACTACACTCCTGCTTAGGACACTTGCTTTTAGTGCTGATGAATCTTCCCAGATTAATTTACCCTATTCAGCTCAGCCTTCTCATAGAGGCCATGGAGAGAGACTGTCGGAAAACAAGTTCTCTCTTTCTTCTCTGCATCTTGCTGACTGATCTCTGCAGAATTGGGTGGGGTTTTTTTGGTATGGTACCTGTCATGTAAGTGGATGTCAGCACACACAGCCAGTAGTGCAGGTGATTTTATGTGAAAAATGAGAATTCTCACTGAAGATCATGAATATATATTTATTTCAAACTTATTTTGAAGTTGTGACAAATTCAGAGAAACCAGAATGCTTTCTGCCCTTTATTTTCCTGTCATTTACATTTGGGCTTACCATGGCTGGTGCAACACTGAACTTGGACATAATTTCTTTTTTTCTCCTCCCCTCCTTTCTTTATAGATCATGTTTTGCACTTTGAATACACATAGAATTGACATGGACAAGCTCTTAGGAGGGCAAATTGGCCTTGAAGATTTCATATTTGCACACATAAAAGGACCAAAAAAGGAAGTGGATATTCTTAAATCCGAAGAATCACTCGGGCTTACGATTACAGACAATGGAACTGGCTGTGCCTTCATAAAGGTAAATTTAATTACTAATGGGATGCTTTTGTTCTGGGCAAGGGTCTAATGACACTTTTGCCAGATTAGTTATTATTTGAATGGTCCTTTAGAATGGGTGCCTTTGTTCCTATTGGGCATGTTTCAGAAGTAAAAAAAAAGAGAGCATCAGTCACTTCTCTGAAGGAATGTTGCAGATTGTAGTGTTATATAAAGATGGAAAGCACTGTAGCTAGCACCTGTGCTGCCATATTAATGTAGCAACAGTGGGAGTCCTAAGTGTAGATATATCACCCATAACTGCTGGTACCTTTAATAACGTGTCATCTGGTTGGAACATTTTCTAACAATTGTAAAAGTATTTATGTTTTAAACTGAGTCAGCAAAGCAAGCAGTTTTAAAAGATACTGTTTAATCAGTGGGTGTATTAAATAAGAGAGAAGACCTAAATATACAAAAGGAAAGAGCTGTATCTTGCTACAGTTCAGTGCCACTCGGATTAAAAAAATGTAGTCCCAGGTATATTACAAAGCAGAGACTGTATCTGGTTGAATAAACAGCTGTATTTAGGGGAATCACTTTCGTCATGTATAGTCTTCATTTAAACTTAATTATTTCATTATTAATGAATAAGCACTTGTATTAGGTAATCTGATAGTTATAAGCCCTTGCACCTGTTTATAATTTTAACACTTGGTATAATAAAGTTCTAAGGCTATAACTTGCTCAGATTTTTACAGATGAAGTTGAAATTGCAACTTTTGTTCAGTCACAAGTCATCTTCCTTATTTAAATTTTCTATGATTTCACAAGTTTTGTCATAAGTTCTATTATGCAGTCCTAGGGCTCCTATACACACGCAGGGAGGTTGCTCCGACACACTGTAATTACTCAATTAATCAAGTCTGCTGGAGTGTGATGATTACCATGTTCCAGCAGCCTCTAGTGTCATGTGTATCATCATCCCCGCACTGAAAAATGGTGGTGGAGCATTTTAAAATTAAAGCTTGTTCAATGAGCTTTAGTTCCAAGTGCCTTGCTGCCATTTTTCAGCATGGGGATACTGATACATATGACACTCTGGATGCTTTAATTAGCATGGATCTAGAGCTGCGCTAATTGAAGCTCCCACCTCCCTAAGCACGTCTATAATAAATGCCCTTATTTTCTGGGTTTATAGCTAGGATGTAAAGCTTTAGTCTTGAATGAAATGAATGATCCAAGGAGTAATGACTTGGGGTGGGGAGGAGGAGATTATTTTGTAAATGCATAGGAGAATGTTGTCATAATGTCATGTATTACAAATCTGGTAATCAGAAATTGGAGTGGTGCAATAAATTTCCTGTATGCTGCACAATAAATGCATTTCCTAGCCTTGAAATAGACAGTGAACTAAGCCTCACTGGCATCACTAGAATTTTACTTGCTTGTAGGAGCAGTGAATTTGGCCCCCAACTTCCCCCCCGCCAATTTTGTTCCTAATTTTTTCTTTCAATCCAACAGCGTATTAAAGAAGGCAGCCTTATTGACCAAATCAAAATGGTATGTGTGGGTGATCATATAGAATCTATAAATGGGAAAAATGTGGTGGGTTATCGTCATTATGAAGTTGCCAAGCTACTAAAAGCACTGGAGAAAGGACAGACATTTAAGCTACAGTTGATAGAGCCTATGAAAGCATTTGGTAAGTGATATGTATTGTTTGCACCATGTATCTGGATGTTAAATTACTGTGGCTGCTTTGTTTTGTAGATTTAGTTTTTAAAAGGAACAATATTTGTCCCAGATGACTGCCCAAGGTAGCCTAGTTGTCAAGGTGCTTAGTTTTTCTTCTGAAGATGGAAATGAATTAATCCACTTTTGCTATTATGTGTTCAGCCCCTTCAAACATTGTGCCTAGAATTCTAGGTATCTGTCAGTAGTCCAGTGTTGGATCAGACCGCTCCTATCAGCTCCACTGGGGGACTTACCTAACGTCAGCCACTTGTCTCTTTCC